TCCCGAAACTGAAGAGGCACATAAAAGGACGACGCTACGCTACGATTGATGAGATAAAGACGGCATCGAAGGAGGAGCTGAACAAGATCACAAAAAATGATTTTTTGAAGTGCTTCGAGGATTGGAAAAAAACGTTGGCAAAAGTGTATAATATCTGATGGGGATTACTTTGAAGGGAACAAAATAGATATTCATGAATAAATAAATAATTTTTGAAAACACACAAAATTCGCGATACTTTTTGAACAGACCTCGTATTCTTCATTTGCATTAGTAGATCATAAGCTTATATGTTAATATAAAGCTATAAACATTATATAATATTGATTTTATTTTTCTCCTTTTCTCTCACTTATTATTCTCTGATATAATTTATAAAGCTCGATTTGCTTAAGTAATGATACAGTTTATTTAAAAAATAAGAATGATAAATTTATATTTTTTATATATCGTTATTTATTATATTTGTGCACATTTTGATAAATTTAGATGCTTTTTGCGTATCGTGACAAATACGAGGGTGAATCAAATATAAACCGGAATTATTTTTATATCCACAATGTGGCGAACGGAGAAAGGCCAGGTTTCTGAGCGTTATAGGTGGGGATGCCTGAAGGAGATTTCCCCCTACGCGACCTCTCATTAGCGCTCCGTTAATCAGTATCACAATGTCAGAGCGGAATGTGCCCTCGTCCGTTTCACAACGAATTATTATTAAATTTCTCACTGCAAAAAGCGTAAAACTGTCGGACATATTGAAAAGGCTTGAAGCACAATTCGGGGACAATACGTTTAAGAGGACTCAAGTGTACGAATGGCACAAACAATATTTAGAAGGACGAGAAACTGTTAAAAGTAAGGGGCACCGACGTCGCTCGTTGACCAGCGTGACAGAGGAGAATATTCGCCTGGTTGGCAGCTTTACCGAGAGTGACCGTCGATTAACGGTCGCTGAAATTGCTTCTGAGGTCGGAAATAGCTTCGGCAGTGCTCAGGCTATCATTACTGACGACTTTGCGTCTCGAAAATTTTCCGTTAGATGGGTCCCTCGTCCTCTCACTGAAAATCAGAAACGGCACCGTTTGGAGGTGTGCGAATGGCTATTGACACGCTATCAGGCAGACGGGGAAGCTTTTTCTCATAGAATTGTTTTTTGCGACGAAATTTGGATGTATCACTACACCCCGGAACCTAAAGAAGCCAGTATGGAAAGGCAAAAGGAAAGTAAATCCGTACTCGTTGAAGCCAAAACTCGGCTTTCAGCTTGAAAAGTTTTTGCAACTATATTTTTTTACTTAAAAGGTATTTTGCACGTGGATTTTTTCATGAACGTTGTACTGTGAACGCCGTATACTACTGCCAACTTTTGGACGAAGCAAAACGCGTATATCGTCGGAAAAGACGCGGATTTCCAATCCGAAATATTATCCTGCTTCACGACAATGACCCGGCCCCATACAGTTGCTTTAACTCGTCAAAAAATTAAAGAACTGGTCTAGACTATAATGGAACATCCTCCCTAGAGTCCGGACCTATGGCCTTGCGATTATCATTTGTCTGTACCACTGAAAGAAGCACTTGTAGGACAAAGATTTGACAACGATTCTTCTGTCGAATCCTTCGTGAGCGATTGGCTGCTGTCACAACCGCTTTCATTTTATGATAGCGGAATTAAAAAATTGCTTACCCGTTGGGAACAATGTGTTTCGTACTCCCGGGATTATGTAGAAAAATAGTTATGTATGTTAGTTTT